TTTTAAGTGATGGGAATGTGTGAATAAACCCGGCAACTATTTCTTATGTTTTGTTTATAAATTTATCATAAAGCCTTTAAGGGTGGCATTATGCAGAAATTAGTGATGAAAATGATCTCCTACTGCTCTACAAGATGTCTAGGGCACAGAGACTCCTTTTTATAGCAGTAATTACCCATGTGTGTTTTCTCATAGCCAAGATTTCCAAAGAAGGTTATTTGATACTTCCAAATCAAATGGTGATCCTCTTCTTAATCCACACTGTGATACTGTGTTTTTCCTTGATTCTTTGGAGAAAAGTTTATTGTATTCTTCCAGCAGTTCTCATCAGACTCCGCTATTTTGGCAAGAAGTATTTTTTTCAGATAGGCCACCTTTGTCACATTCAAATTGCTGGTTATGAAGATAATGTAGCAATCATTATTCATGTTGCTAACCATATTATTTTGCAATAAAAAAAAAAAAAAAAAAAAATTTACCCTATTTGTTTATTGCATTGAGTGATATTTTTGCTAATTGTCTCTCTTGTACCAATTATTTATTCTGAACAGTTATTTTTGGCACAGTATCATTATGCAAAAGGATAGAGCCTGAATTCTTTACTATTTCCAGGATTAACCCAATTGTCACTAGGGACACTACTTGTGGAATGAAGAAATCAGATTTGGCCAAAAATGGTGATCTACTATTTCTAGGCAGCCTGTTTAAAGATACAGTTAAATCTCAAATGAATATTACTGTAATATAATTTATTTGTCCTATTTCATTTTTTCTCATTTACCTTGTTTCATAAACATTTTGAGAAGTCTGAAAGAGGGCTGTACTTAGAGTATAACTATTGGTTAAGGACACAACATTCATTATTTTTTGGCTGCTGTACAAGCATTTTTGTATGTAATTGTTCTCACTTCTGCTTATTCTGGTTTGATTTTGAGTATTGTCTGGTATGTGTAATCCCAAGGCAATTTCAGATGAGACATTGAAAAACAATTTTCTGGAAGGAAATTGCCTATTTTTTGAAATCAATCCATTATCAAGCAGACTTAGTACTGTTCTTGTTAATGCATTTGTTCATTTCAAGATGTTTAGCCATTAATTCTTCTGAGATTAATCAAGTGGTAAATCAATTAACATCAGTGACATCTTGTCTGGATCTGGGGCCCACATGGCTAGCAAACAACTGTTTACTCACTTAGGATCCAATTTTGACATGTTTCACAAATATTTGACCAATTCTGTGATTTTTCCAGATGCTTTAAAATTGGCTCCTAGACTATCTTGTTTAAAAAAAAAAAATCCCTCTTCTTTCTCCAAATGAACTGCTATTTTGACATCATTCCAGTTTCTTTCTTTTTTATTCTTTTTTTGTTAAAGTTTCTGAAAAAATTTATGGGGAAACAATTGCAGACCTATTTTGTTTAAAATGAGGTGTCTAGAGAGAAAATTTTAATCTGGCAATAGCCCAATTCTTAGTATACTGAAGGTCCTATAGTAGGCTATGGAAATTGGTTTGAATATTGTTCTTATGTTGTTAAATCTCTTAGATATAAATATGCCAAAACTTCCATTCCTTGAGAAGAAAACATAAAAATCTTATGAATTTTACAGTAAGCAAGCAGATTTGGATGTTGCATAAGAGACAGATTGATTTAACTATATACCATGTCATGTCCTGGAAATCAGACCTTTGATCAAGGTTTTCTGCCCCAGAAATTCTTACATTTCTTTTTTGTGATTAGATACAGATGGTAGATATAACAGTGAATGGCTCAGTTTTCAAGATCTGCCATGATTATTGTTTTTAGAAGTAAACCATGATTCTGAGACATAATCTCATTTGCTGACTGAGCGACTAAGTCCAATTTATGAGAGCTTAGTATTATCCAGTGAAGAATACTATATCTTTAGATCCTTTATCTAGGCATAGTTAGATCCACAATTAGATCCATCATTCCTCTTTAAATAATCAGTTGAGTGTGCCCTATCTTGAATCTCTCCTATAGAAATTGAGAGGAGTATTTTAGTGCCTTATTTTTCACCACGAGCATGGACAGCTTGCTTTATAGAATAACAGGTTGTTTAGATTCTATATTACAAAGAATGCAGCTCTTGGGATTCCTGGAGGTCTTCCTGAAGGCCTGAAACATGTTTTTCTAAGACTTTACACAGGCTCCCAGTGAAATTCCCGAGTTGCTATAAAATTATATTGATTTTTTTTCTAGAAGCATGTTACACGACTGTCCAAGCATACCCTATCTTACAAACCTTTAATGCTACTTACATTCCATGAAATTTTTTTTCTTTTTGTTTTTCAGTCATTTTTACCAGCTCAGCTGAATAAACAATTACTGTCATTCTAGTCCAACTGTCTGGTGTGAGAAATTCCACTTTAAGAAAAAAATGTATCTATGGGCATAGTAATGCTTTAATAAATGCACAGGGACAGAAGTCATCATCTCTCCTTAAAAATAACAGAAAAATTTAAACATGGGAATAACCTTATGTCTTCTAGATGAAACAGAGAGAAATTAAATGGCCATGAATTGATACAGCTTGGAAGAAATTACAAAAAATTTTGGCTACAATTAATAAGAGATGCGCTTAAAAATCATCTTCTTCAGATTATTCAATTTCCTCTTCCTGTTTCAATGACGACCATGGACAGGACTTTCTGTGTTGACTCTAGAAGAATACATGCCACTTCCTGTGGTGTCCCAGCTGTAGGTAGAAAGGTGCTAGGTTACATCAACATACCCATGGTCCACACACCTACTGGAAATGTTCTGTAACGGAAAAGATACACTCAGAATTAAAATCATATTACTGCAAAGGGAATGAGAAAAATATGTATAGTTAAATGGTTCGGTCTCTGTCTGCGTTATTCCTTACAGTTTTGTTACATAAAAGAAGTCTGACATTTTTAGGCAACTCCTACTTGTTTTCAAGCATATGGATTATAAGGCTTTTTGAAAGTAAAATGTGTAAAAACCAGTTATATGTGAGTGAATGTCCTATATGTCCCAAGTTTTTCTCTCCTGTATGGAATTACGGACCATGCTTCTGAAATTGGTTTTCATTTTCAGTAATTCCACCAACACAGGTGAACTTCCATTGGTTAATACCCACAAATAATGCGCACAGAGGATAGGCTAGGAGCAAGTTTTTCTATAAACAAGTTGACTGCAGGTTTGCTATAACTTCTGCGTCCCTACGGCCTTCTCCTCAAGCTGCAGCTTGTGGAAGCTGAAATTTGTCACCTGAAAACCTAAATTGATGCATCTTGAATGAAAAAGAAAGTGCTCATTTTTTAATAGATTATCACATGTATTCACTGATTGCTTCCTAATAGCTTGATTTCAGCTCACAGGATAAGCAGGATTCTACTTCCATATTTAAGCACCATAAAGCACTTATTACTCAAGTATTTCCAAAAAGATATTCTTTTGACAAAACGAGTTCTGGAAGATGTGAAACAATGTGTGCAGGCTGCCAATCCACACAACATTCATTTGTGTACATCAGAGAGATGAGTAGATTTTTCTGTGTCTTCCACTGTCAAGGGGGACTTAGAGAAGAACAAGATATTTTTGCATGTTTGTCATTATCCTGTGTCTGCTTCCCGAAGAAATTTCTCATTGACATTTCTAGTAACTCGACTATGTGTCAGATTAAGAGTGTAGAGTCACTCCGTGTGACGCAATGTCACCACAGTCACCCATGGGTTGGTCTTCCCCACACTCTTATGGCTGTTGCCTTGGTCTAGTTTCTACCTGCAAGTGGAAGCAGAGCCCAAGTATCATGCCTTAAATATAAGTGCCAAGATTAAGTCACTTGTCTGCCGGCCCAAGTGACTTCATGGTCTGAGAAACACAAGAGCATGTGTTAAGGAACTGAACCATGGTTTCCCAGGTTTTCAATGACTGCCTAGCCCTGGACAGTGTAGACAGCCAATGCTGGGTCTAATAAACTTCATTCTGGTCTACCTTCATCATTACAACTGAGTGGAGTTGTGCCAGTGATTGCAATAGGGACAGATAATGATACTTTGAGAATGATACTGAGTGACTGGTGTTCTGCACTGCAATACTTTTTTCCTCTTCATTATTTAGTGGCTCAGTTTATCATTCCCTCTACTAAACTGCATTTTTAAATGGAATACTATTCATCTTCTTACAGATAATGGAAAAACTGAGAAATTGGAAGGAGAAAGAAAAAATACCCCAATGTACCTTTAGATCATCTTCTAAGAGAAGAAATTCTCCTTGGGGTGGATCTAAGAGAAACAAGAAAACTATACTCCCTAAAGATTTGCTCTAGTCCTACAAGATAAATGGGTATTAATGTCACAGTGAGGATGCAAATGGCATCTTCTTTCACCTTCCTTGTGGACAGGTTATTAGGAATCCCTTAAAGGAATACACATCTGTGCAAGCAGGCACTTGCTCTGTAACTATTCAGATTCATGCTGGCTGCTCGGTCTTATTGAAGAATACACATAGACCCTCAGTGAATTCCAAGACCAGGGGTAATAGACAAGTGAATAACAACAGGGGCACTTGAAATAGCTTTGATAGGAGGTGAAAGTCTAAAGGAATTGCCAGCTTGAGCACACAGTTAGTAAGATTTAGTAGAGCTTTTCAGCAAGCCAACATTTTGCTTTTTTTTCCTTTGCACTCATCAAGATAGATAACATACAGTAGCTGGTGGTCATACAAATTACCTCTGTGTGAAATGTACTCCTTCATCTTACCTTAAGTTTTATATAACATAATATTAGCATATATCATTATAGTCTGCTTAATGCAAACCTCCCAGCTGTATAAATAATTTCACGTAGTAATTCTGCAAAATTAGGACACGTTCTTTTGAATGGAGCAAAGGAAAGCAGAGAAGAGAAATAAGGATTGCTTTGGATATTTTTTAGCTTATATGACCTTGTATCCCTACATTCTGGTAAAATATGTCTGATCTGTGACTTTTGTCTTTCCCCTTTTTCATAGTCCATTTCTGACCTGGAGAGATATACAGCATATTATTGTCAGGACATCACGTGCAGGACATCTGAATGCTAACGACTGGAAAACCAATGCGGCTGGTTATAAGGGTGAGAGCTTCCTTTCTTCTCTGCCATCAGAGGCAACATCTTATTTGATATTTTTGAAGAAGAAATAATCTCAAGTAGTTTGTGTGACCCTATGTTGTACATAGTTTTGAGACCTTTCAGGCTCAAAATGAAGGGGCCTATCTTCTCTTTTATAAGGAAAACCTCGTAGAATGACTAAACCCAAAAATAGCAGCTACAAAATGCATTGGCCAGATCTTCCCTTTCAGTCCTATTTTATGCAATACTGGCAGAAAACTAAGTAAATTGGTGTTTTTTAATTTTTCCTTGTATAGCTAGTATTCTGATAAAATAGTCTACAGTTGAAGGTACAGCAGTTTCTGGATTCAGACCATGTTTTCATTCAGAATTGTTGACAATTTTGATTAAAAATGACAAAACAGTATTTTCAAATTTCTGTTTTATATGATTCACCCTACATTATTTATATTTAAGATTTCTGTCAGATTTAGGATAAAATGAAATCTTGAGCTATCATGACTTTTAATGAGACAGAAATCATACTATTATCAGCTGTTATGTAGGTTTCTAAAATTTTGTACAATCTTGTAATTTTGTATTAAAGCTACATTTTTTTATCGTTTTTTCTCTTTTGTAATGCAAGCAGGCAGAGGTAAATGAAAATGATCAGGGGGATGGAACACCTCTCCTATGAAGAAAGGCTGAGAGAGTTGGGGTTGTTCAGCCTGGAGAAGAGAAGGCTTCAGGGAGACCTTATTGCAGTATCAGTACTTAAAGGGGGCTTATAAAAAAGATGGCGGCAAACTTTTTAGCAGGGCCTGTTGTGACAGGACAAGGGGGAATGGCTTTAAACTAAAGGGGGGTAGATTTAGACTAGATATAAGGCATACAGTTTTTCATGCTGAGGGTGGTGAAGCACTGGCACAGGTTGCCCAGAGAGGTGGGGGATGCCCCATCCCTGGAAACATTCAAGGTCAGATTGGACGGGGCTCTGAGCAACCTGATCTAGTTGAAGATGTCCCTGGTCATTGCAGGGGGGTCGGACTAGGTGACCTTTAGAGGTCCCTTCCCACCCAAACTATTCTATGATTCTATGATTTGTGCCATTAAATGAGATAGATACATATTTTCAGGATGGGTTGAAACTGGACCTTGAATCCATAAAACATTGTATTTCAACACAGATTGGCTTCTGATTCCCGTTCACTAAATTCTTACTGCTTTCAGTTTGGATTGCATCTAAAAAAAAAAGAACCCAGAATTGCTTATTTCTGGTTCTGTTTTCATGAGAATTCCACCCAAGACTGCAGTACTTCTTTTAAGATGAGATTTGAACTGTTTTGTGCTAGGATCTCCTGAGAGAATAATGTAATATACAAGAACCATCAAATCTTCACCCTGGTTTCACTTTAAGACTGAAGCCTAGCTTTAGTCCATTTCAGATCAAGGCACTGCTACCATAGAGCATCTTTAATATATCATTCTGACCTATGACATTTCTGCTGCAATGGAATAGAAATCAAATGAAAAAAACTTTTATTTTTGGATCCAAACCAGGCTCTAACTACAGAGGATAAATTTAGAAATGGGTATTTGACTCAAACCCCCTCATCACATGAAAGTTCAAGAGCCTGGTTTTGTCCCATTTACAAGCTCATGCCCACATGCAAAAACACATACATAGTGAGAAATAGATACTTCCTTAATTGCAATAACATTACAGTATTTGTTATTGTGAAACATTTCCCAGCATTGAAAAAGTTTTGGCAGGAGATTGTGGCTGGATTATCATTTTGTTGGAGCTATCTGAAATTCAAACAATGCTTTTCAAGTAGCATAAAGTAGAGCATTTTTCTTCCATAACTCACTTCCAAAATTCTATATTTTTAAGTTTTTCCACTTGTTGCCCGAGAAAGGCAAACACCCTGTGAGGCATTTCACAGCAGCTGTCACTCATTATCAAAGGAGAGATCACACTAACACACCAGCAGTAGCAGCATTGGCAGCAGGACTTGCACTCTTGCACTACTGGAGCCTGCTTATTCTGAATCCTTAGAGCCACACATTTTTCTTTGTATTGTAGTAGATAAATAGGGAGGAAAAGGGCTGAAAAAAGGTTTCTCCTCCATTTGTGCAAAATCACAAATATAGATAAGCTCAACTGGGGGACTGGGATTTGGGAAATACAACTTGAGCTGGCAGAGCTCTGCTGTAGACTCCATGATGGAACTGAAAAAAGAGGAAGACAAACTAAGTGCCTCGACCTCTGTGGAGCTCAGGAATCAACCTTAACCCAAATAAAAGCACTAGTTTTAACTAAATTATTTTGGCAACTTAGGCTTAGCAAGTGGTTCCAATAAAAATGCAGCTCTCTCTAAACCTCTGTTGGTTTTGGAAGAAGGAGAAGCAAAAGATTTAGATTAAATCACAACATCCAAACCTGAATTCAAAAGGGGGTTTGCACACCGCTGCTGGCCAGACTGAAACAGTTTTTTTACTATTGCACGTGGCAATATTTAGTATAATATTACTCTATTATCCTTCACTGTTGCCAAGAGTAACAATTAAAGTATGGTTTTTCATAGACGAATTACTCTGATCAGACTGAGTTCCTTAAGGAATTGTATCATAATTTTGTGGATGGCAAGATCCATATTTCTTCCACAGCTTGTTCTTAACAAAGGAAGGGGTGAAAGATTTTTTTTTTTTTTAATTAACTAAAGCAATGACAGTCACAAAAAACAATCTGCCTTTCTTCCATGCATACTGGGGAAGAAAGAAAAAAACGAGGAGAAAAAGAGAGACAGGCTTGCTCCTTTAGAAATGAGAACTGAAAGGGTGAAAACAACAAAAACTTGGAAGAACCTCTCACTCAACAAAGGGTCAGCAAGAGTTGGTAGTTGAAAGTGGGTCAGCATGCCTTTTCAGGGGGCTGTTTTGCTGGGCTGCATGGCAACCCTGTCCCTCGCTATAGTCCCTAGCATTGTTTTGCCATTGCAGAACACACAGAAGGAGCTCACAGATGTCATTACTGCTTGCAAGATCTCCTTTTTTTTCTTTCTTACATTCATAAAAAGAAAGATTAATTCATGAAAAACACTTGATCCAGCTAGTGATTTGCTAAAGCAGTGCCCGTTATTTGTTTAATTTTCTGGCAAGTAAGCAGCATTTGTTAAATGCATGTCAATAGAATTAACTCAGGAATGGGCAAGAATTTTTTCTTGGTAATTTTTTTATTATTGTTTTGTTGTCAGCCAGCTTGTATCTTTGCTCAGGAACTTACTACCTGGTAGTCTCGAAAAGAAAGACTTGAATACTCATTTTGGGATATTCTCTGGTTAGTCAGTTGTACATATAATTTGTCTCTAGATAAAGAGATATGTTATGCTCAATTTTGCTTCAAAATCAGAGAGGTTTTTTATAATTAAAGCAGTTAATTAACTGATTATATGGAAAAAATACTAGAGAACATCTGCTTTTTTGAAGATATCAAAACTGTTGGTCTGTTTTTGCTACGGCAGATTGGTATGCAAAGGCTCCTTGTTCTGTCAGTTGTTTGGTCAACAACAGAGCATGCAACTGCATTCATAAAAAGGGAATGCTGCGTTATTGCCAACTTGTCTTTAGGTTGAAAGATACAGAATGAAACTACAGTTTTAAGAACAATGATCAAATCATCTGAACAATTCTTTATCTGTAAGTGAAGCTCCAAATACTGTCAAATACTGTCTCTGGGGAAACAGACCATTCGCAGTGAAGAAATACTATTAATTTGCAGGGAGATTTTTAGAGAACATCCTTCACTCTTCCTGGCTGTAAAGTGTAGCAATAACACTTCAGTACAGTGAAATAAAATGCTACTGAAAGATAAAAGGAAATCAAAACTTTTTTTCATTTTCAGGCCATTCCTAGGTGCAGTGGAGGTATTCTTCCTACAGAAATTGAGAGTCATCTCATTTGCCAGGGAGTAGCAGACTACCAGAGTTATGTCGCACCCCTTTAGGTTAGCCAAAGTATCTGCTGCTTCCACTGGAGAGTGAGCACTGGAGAGAATTAGTCACTTAATGTTTTACAGCCTTGTAATATAATTGCTTAATTACAGTATTTAATAAAACTGGGGATTATTATTCTTGTGAGCGGAGCATTACCAGTCTGGGAGTGAGAAAGAGATGAACCTATCTATGCTCCTACATAGGAGATCTAGATTGGCCAGATTAAATTGCTATAAGGTGACCAGTAACCAGGCACAATTTGAGACACCAGCAAGAAAATCTTCACAACTATGTGTACATCTCAGAGAAGACAAATAAGCTATTCATAAACACCCTGCTGCATATTTTAAAATCATATTTTTAAATCTTTGTTAGAAGCTGGCATAAGACTTTTGAAAAATAGCAAGCACTTGTGAATGGGTATGTCAACCAATCAAAGCTGTTCCTCTATCAAAAGACCTTCCAGTCTTACAGATGCTAGCTGGTATTTTCACACGCTGTTAGCAGCTGACATCAACTCCTACCCACCCATAACACCCATACACATGGTGCATGGAGCAAGTGAAAGACGGGCTTTGAGTTTGGCTGTTTGATATCCCGGTTTTGGGTAGTTGGCAATCTAACACCAAACACATGAAGTTTCATTGGTCTTTGTAGGAGTGAGGACGACTATATCCTATGCAAGTGAGACTAATGATTTTTTGTGCTTGAAGGATTAAACTGATATTCTCAGGCAGACAACTTAAAAAGCTGTTGGTAAGTTTCTTGTTCAACTTGTTGATGAACATGGGCAAATGCAAGCTATTTCACATGTGACTTGTTCCTCTCCATCTCCCAGGGCTGTGTTGGCTCGAGGCAGTATTTCCTCACCAGGAATACCCCTAGTGCCATGTCCTCTGGCCACCTGCTCTTCTCAGCAGGCCCATGGCTTCATTGGCAAGCCATGAAACAAAGCTATTTCTGCAGCTCTACACCATGCAGGGAATCCCCTTAAGCCAGATTTTGTGTTCCAAATGCATTAGTCCTTGA